TATTTTCAATTACTGAAAATTGTAAATATAAATGATTATGCAGTTTTTATCTCATTTATATCGAGGATTAATTTCTATTAATAAATCTTTTATAAAAATTCACTCCGTGAAAGTGGATTCAATATTAATCCTGTACGAAAAAGATGGAGTTGTGTCAATCAAACTGATCGAAAAAAATATCAGCCTTTCAAATATTTTTAGCGAGCAACGGATCGATGCAACAATAATCTCCGCTGGCTGAGTCGCTTAGAAAAACGTGTCACGATTATGCCGGAAATCTCGATTGCTTTTCGTAAGATCATTAAATATTTTTAAAGTCTCATACAAATTTCATGAGAGCCCACTGCTTTCATAGAAGTTTAAGAGGTTACGCCGAGTTTCGTTGAAGTTTATGACGTTTTATAAGATCTCGTGAAATTTCCGAGGCTTCGTAGAAAGTAAGGATTTTGCGGAGCGCAAAACTTTTCACAGTCCGTAAATATTGCATGTCTTCACTAACTAAGCTCTGTTCCAATAAATACACTACACAATTATATTGAGGACTCCAAACATAGTTACGACAATGAAAAAAAATTTGATAACTCAAAAATGTATAAGGTATATTGAATCTAAATTGGCAAGTTTTATCTTTTATAAATCTTTTATAAATTTTCTATGTCTTTAAGGCTTGTTGTATTATCAATTTTACGCAAGATTGGCTAGCAGTGCTGCTATTCGTGCGTGTAATTGAAGCGTTAATAGAAATGTATCGAGCACAATTGAAGGACTTATTTTTAGCAATTGACTCTTGTACACTTACTAAAAATACATGCACTTGATTACGTGGAGGTCTTATTAATTTTTTAATTATCTGAAGAGTTAGCATGATGAAATTTCTTGGAAAAATATAATGCAACACACCTATTTTTTAAATTTTAGAAAAATCTTTAAAAAGCATCATTTATTTAAAAAGCAGATACTACAGAATAAATCATTTCTATTATCATATTATGACTTAAAATATATGACTGTATTAATCACGTATCAGCTTCAATTTTTTTATTGAAACATAAGATAGACGTGATTAGTCAGACATTTGCAGTCTTTTTTTCAGAGTTTTTATAATTATTAATTTACATTTTGCAATGCACAATATATAAATATTGTATAAAATATTAATGGAAAGAAATTGAAGATTATTTTTTTTAAAGTTATTTTCTGCGTATTACAAAATATCTATTAAAATGACACATTAATTATCGTTAAATGATTAAAACTAACATGAGGGTTTATTCTGATTCACCTAATCTCGCATTAAACCGCGCTTTATTTCCTTTGATAAGAGAGTATCAGTACTTGTGCGTGACATCACCGAAAGTACCGCAAGAAGGAGGAACTCCTTGTAGGAAAAAGTCGAATAAATCTCAATGCGGACGGAAAGTGGCCATAAAAGAAAGAGTAAAAGAGAACCGCAGAGCGATAGTGTCGAGATGATAATCGCAGCCGTTCATTTGAATAATATATGATGTAATATATACCTACTTTATAAAAGTAAATTCTTCATTCTCTATCACGAAATTTGGCAATTTCAAAAAAAACAGAATATTGCAATATCAAATTTTTATAAGCCATACAAATATATAAAATTTACATGTTGGGATCCGACTAAAAGCACGGAGGGAATTTTTTATGTATATATAATTATGTTATTATATATAATCTACTTACTAACTTTCTTTAATTTTCTAGTCGGTTCATTATAATTATTATAAGAAATATTTATATGATACAAGATCGTTTTCTTATTTACTTTTCCAATCAGTACAGCCATTAACAATAATAATTTTTGTGTGCATAGAAAATAATATAAATATTTAAATCTAAATTATGCAAAATCAAAATTATTTTGCAATATAAGAGCACGTTTATTAAAGAGAAGTGTTTATGCATACAATTTTCGCAGATGCTGAGGCAACTTGAACATTGTTTGCTAAAACTATCGTTGCTGCACCATAAGTAAGCCTGTCTGTAACAACGGGACGATTCACGAAATGAGAATGTGGAGGTTCTATCGCTGACGATAATGACGACGAATGACGACACTCCATTAACCTAGTGGCCCGAGTAGCGATATAAAAGGGAATTAAAAGAGCTGAGCTCCAATGGAAGCTTCGGAACACGTGTACCGGGTGGTGGTGGAATAATTAGATGATGACAACGACGACGTCGTCGAGGGGCTCGTTAATGAAACGATGTACTGAGGACTCTTGCAAGTCGACGAAATTCTCGGAGGAAATTCGGAAAGAACAGATGATTTCGGTACGACGTATACGGAAGGGTGGAAGTGCCGCTAATGAGTTAATTTTGCCTTAAGGCTCGTGATGAACCATTGATTTACAAGGATTGTCAAGTTTACAAGTTTCCATTAGAAATATAATTACGCAAAGTGTGTTACGAAATTCCCCTTTTTCAAATTAATAATTAATATTATATTTATTAATTAATATTAATCTAATAATTAATATTATGCCTACATTCATATTATTTATAAAATTTAACAAAAGTATTCGTAATACAAAACTAGATATTTGAATTTCTGAATTGTTAAAAATTGAAAAAATTTTTAAAAGTTTATTTGTCATGATTTTATATTAATAACGTCACACAAAGAGATTTTGCATTTATTTAAAAATAATTGTAGAAAGATATTAGAATAATTTACATATAGAAAAAGTAGATATGTTTTTCAAAATAGATTTATTTCCAGCAATGATAGGAGTGATAGATCGGCTTATAACTGGTTTACAAAATGCTACGATACGCGTTTCAAATAGACGTAAGAGAATTCTAGTAAAAGATACAAGCGATTCGAAAAATATATGAATCGTAATAAATATATATATAGCAAGAAATAATTTAAGAGCGCTCACGAATCGACAGCATATTAAAAATATTCGTAAAGAAGAAACGTGTCTTAATCTCGTTTTATAATCCCGTACTTCTATTGCGTCAACATAATTTACGATGAAAAATTGCACGACGTAGAAAAGAAAGCGGCGTATACTAAAATCCGTGTCGATCATTAATTTTCTGAGAAACCACCGTGACGCGTGAATACCACACACAAACTTCATCCAAGAATATATTTATGTCCTATCACCGCATACACTTCACGTAGTGCATACAACGATAATGAATCTAGAAAAAATATTACGAAGCGTAGAAAA